GTCAAAGCCTTGAAGAAAGAACGATGGCGAAGACGCCCAAATATTTTTCAAAAATTTCAGGTTTTTCCCAAAAACAGTCGAACCACTGAAACTGAGGGACCGAAGTTATAAATTTATTTATTTTTCAAAATTCAATCGATTTTGTTGATTTTATTTATTTTATGTCCACCGCTAATTCCCGATCCAAATGAATTCTCTAATGACATAACCACATATATACCAAAATAACGTTGTTCCACTAAAATGACTTAACTGGAACGTCATTGTTTTAAGTTGTTTTTATTTCGCTGTAAAAACACATTAGGAAGACCTCAATTAAATTATGCTCTACAATTATATACGTATCTGGTTGATATATTATGAAAAAAGAAAACAATTTGCATAAGGCGCACTGCGCTTTCCTGTAGGTCATCACTTGTTATAGAAGTCAAAACTGTGTTCCGAGGTCTTAAAAATCTCTTTTTGTCTCACCTCGATTTGCGTGCACAGTCCGGGCGCGTTTCCGGAAAGCTTTTATGTGAAATTTAAGAAAAATAATGAATTTGACCTTTTAAATTGATTAAAGTTGACTTTTATCAACATTCTTGGTAAACGGACCCGGACCCATGATCGGACGGTCCCGTAGGGTCTGTAGTAAAATATGGGACTTGGGCGTATGCCCGGAATCGAATTCCGAGGTCCCTAACCCGAGAAAAGAATTTTTAAAGAAAATTGTTTGTTGGAAAATATAAAGGCTTTTTGAAATGAAATGATGCGTGTTCTTGATGGTATCGGGTCCGTATGTTGGTTCCGGAGCCCGGTACAGGTTTAAAATAATAAATAAGTCGAATCTGTGAAATTTGGTAAGAATCGGAGTTGATTTGGTATAAATCGGACCTTTAGTTGAGAAAATGGGAATTTCAATGTTCTTAAGGAATTTCATGAATTTGAGGTTGAATTCGTAGTTGTTGATGTTATTTTAATGATTTGATCGCACGAGCAAGTCTGTATGATGTTTTTAGACTTGCTTGCATGTTTGGTTTGGAGCCCCGAGGGCTCAGGTTGAGTTTTGGATAGGCCACCGAGTGAATTGGACTTAGGAAATTTTCAACTGGCATATGGTATTTTTGCCCAGGGCTTCGCATTTGCGAAGTGGTCAGGCTTGGGAAATGCGACCAAAGTGTCGCAATTGCGAACCAAACCTGGGCAGGCCCTTATCGCAATTGCGACCTCAGGGCTGGGAATTTCGAACTCCCTTAATCGCAAATGCGACTATTCCTTCGCAAATGCGACGATGACAGGATTTCAAAGGGTTCGCAATTGCGAACCCCTGGTCGCAATTGCGACATCTGAGACCTGTTAAGTGGGATTTTGACGGGATTCTTCTTCATTTTACAACTTTTTCAAAACCTAAACTCCTAAGGGTAATTTTTCAAGAGCAAGTTCTTCTCTAACTCATAGGTAAACGATTTCTCACTTATTTTTTTCAATCTATAACATCTTTTTTATATGTTTTCACTTCAAAATCTAGGATTTTTCATGGGAAATTGGGTGTTTTTGGGTAGAAGTTAGGATTTTCAAATTTTGGGGATTTGGACCTCAATTTGAGGTCCGATTTCAAAACTAATTACATATTTGAGTTCGTGAGTGAATGGGTGATCGGGTTTTGGTTCGAATTTCGGGTTTTGACCAAGCGGGCCCGGGGTCGGGTTTTGACTTTTTGGGGAAATCAATGGAAAATCTATTTTCATGCATTAGATTTGGTTTATTTAGCATTTATTGATGTTATTAAGTAAATTATGACTAGATACAAGCGAATTAGAAGTGGAACCGAGAGGTAAAGCGATAGTTGAGGCTTAATCTTGTCCGTGAAATCGAGGTAAGTGTTTGGCTTAACCTTAGCTTGAGGGAATAAGAGTTGTGGTCTATTTGCTATGTGTTGTTGTCGAGTACGACGTATAGGTGTGGTGACGAGTATCTATACGTTGGTGTCAAGCATGCCCGTAGGTCTTATAACATGATTGTTGTGACTCTATTATGTATCGATCATGCTCAAGTTGATAATTATTAATGTTGAACAAAGATTATGAAAGTTCCTTGGTAATTGACTATTGTTGAGTATTGGCTCAAGTTGAGTTTCATTTTGTAAAGTAATTGTAGAAAACGAGATTGGTTATAGTTGCATCACTTGCCGGGATGTTATTGTTGATTCCCTTGCCGGGACGTATTGTTTTTATTGTTTGGGTGAGGAAGAGTGTAAAGCACGAAGGGTGATGCCGTGCATAATATTGTGAGTGAGTGTAATGCACGAAGGGTGATGCCGTGCCGATATTATGAGTGTTAATGCACGAAGGGTGATGTCGTGTCATGATTTGAGAGTTAATGCACGAAGGGTGATGCCGTGCCGATATTGTAAGGAATGATGCATGAAGGGTGATACCGTGCCATGATTATGAGAGGTAATGCACGAAGGGTGATGTCGTGCCGCTTCTGTTGATTCATATGGTGAGGACGAGAGTAAAAGCACGAAGGGTGATGTCGTGCACGTGTTACCGTTTCATTATTCTTGTTGATATAGATATGATGTTCATTATGCTTCTTTATTGATACTTCTTTATTGGTTTATTGTTAGAATCTGATATCCCCGCAGCATGTCCCTTTCCTATCTTATTCTGTTGATTCCTGTTATTATGATTTTGGTTTGTACATGATTTAACTACACAGGTACATATGATTGTCGTGTCCTAGCCTCGTCACTACTTCGCCGAGGTTAGGCTCGACACTTACTCAGTACATGGGGTCGGTTGTACTGATACTACACTCTGCACTCTTTTGTGCAGATTTCGGTACCAGACCCAGTGAGTAGCTGAGGTAGCTGCCTTCAGTCCAGGGAGACCAAGGTAGATCTGCTGGCGTCCGCATAGCCTAAAGTCCCCCTTCCCTGTTTAGCTTTTCTACTATCTCTTTTCATTCTGAGAACAAAATCTTAGTTGTTCGTGAATTTGTGACACCAGATTCGTGGGTAGACATGTATTGGAGTACTTGGATTTATTTTAACTCTTCCGCGCTTTTCATTTGTTTAGATATAGTTACTATTTATAATTGTTTGGGTTGATTGTTAACGTGTAGAACCTTAATAGTTAGCTTTCCTAGCTTTCACGAGTAGGCGCCATCACGACTCTCGAGGGCAGGAAATCCGTATCGTGACATTTCCCTAGCCCGATGTTCGCCTTTTTTTAGGCCTCATTTGTTTTTTTAAAGATTAAGACGTCTAAATCTGAATACACATCTGAATATCAAGATGTGTATTAAGATTAAGACATCTGAATCTGAATACACATCTGAATATATTAAGACGTGTATTAAGATCTGAATACTAAATAATTAAGACAGTTTGATTTTTAACATCTGAATGTATAAAATTTATCTTTATTTGAAAATTAATAAACATAAAATTCAAATGAAATACTAACTAATCTAATATTCTATCAATAAAATATATAGTTTTTTAAAATATGATAGTTGTTTGTGTTGATGACTAACGGGTGAATGCTGACTAGAGGCGGTGGTTGGTGGTAGTTTTGGTTGATGCTGGTGGTTCATGCTAGTAGCTAGTAGTGATTGGTAGTGGTGGCGATTATGGTTTAGGTCTTGAGGATGGTGGTGGCTGGTGGTGATAGTTAATAATGGTGGGTGGTAGTAGTTGTTTTGACCGAGGAAGGTGGTGGGTGGGTGGTAGTAGTTATTTTAACCGAGGAAGGTGGTGGGTGGGTGGTGGTAGGTTATATGATGGGCAGTGCCGGCTGTGGTTGTTGAGGGTGATAGAGTGGTCAGTTGTGGTAGTTGAGGTGGATGAGTGTTGATTGTGGGTGAGAATGATGGTGGTCGAAGTGGTGGGGATAGTGGGTGGTGATAGTCGATAATGGTGGCGGCTATGATTGAGGATGATGGTGGTGTGGTGGTGGTGGAGATGGCAGCGGCGGTGGTTGAGTATGGCGGTAGTGGTGGCAGTTGATAATGGTAGGCGGTGGCGGCAGTTAATAATGAATATGTGATAGCATCTTAATGAAATTAAGTCTGTGTTATAGATCTTAATCATACATACCTATTCAGACCCATTAAGAGGTTGTGAAGTAAAAAAAACAAACACACTTAATGATTAAGATCTGAATAATTAAGATTCAGACTTTAAAAACAAACGCACTTAATGTCTGAGATCCGAATGATTAAGATTCAGACCTCCATTAAGTGCATACAAATGAGGCCTAAGTCAAGTAATGAAGATCGGAGCTTCGTAACATGTTGACGAAGGCCCCCAAACTAAGGGCTCGGTCAGTAGAAGGGACAACTTTGTCTCCCTAAAAGAAGAATAGCCCCGCTCTCTAGCCGACCGATACTGTTGATCGTATAATAGCCTGTTTGGCCAAGCTTCTAAAATCAGCTTATTTTGAAAAGTGCTTTTCTCAAAAGTACTTTTAAAAAAAGTGCTTTTGGTGAGAAGCAGTTTGTGTTTGGCTAATTAATTTGAAAAGCACTTTTGAGCAGTAATTAGTGTTTGGCCAAGCTTTTGAAAACTGCCTCTAAGTGTATTTTTCTCAAAAGTGCTTCTCAGAAAGGTGCTTTTGGAGAGAAGCTACTTTTTTCTGCTTCTCAAAAACTGTTTCTGCTTCTCCTCAAAAGCACTTTTTTTCCTTCCAAAAGCTTGGCCAAACACCTCAATTTTTGGCCAAAAGTGCTTTTGGCAAAAAAAAAAAAAAATACTTTTGGCCCAAAAAAAGCTTGGCCAAAGAGGCTATCTGGTTCGTCTACTTATATTTTTCCTTTTGGATACATGATGGATTTATTTCAAACTTCATCATATAATTATCTAAAGAGAAAAAAGAGTTTCTTCTAGGGGTGAGTCTGAAAATTTCAATTATGTGGAGGGACAAAATGACATTACTCAAGAATATCTGGGTCAATTTGATATTTTTCAAGGAAAAAATCAATTTGTCAAGAACCTTCGAATTCTAAACTTCTAATGCCAACTCAATTTTATAGTGGAGCAATCAGTAACCAAATAAACAAACAAATCACAACACAGACACATTGGCTATGGCTTACATAGACAGTAAGCAAAAATTTATCCTACTGTTAATTTTTTCAGCACTTTTACTATCTTCTCCTGCAGTTCTTGCTAAACGTCGCCCAATCTCTGTAAGTTTTTTTTTGGGTATTGGGTTTTGTAAATCTTTTTCTTTTTATTGATGTTGCTTTATCATTATTTTGATATTTTTTGGCTGTTCTTGAATACAAATACAGGATGGAGAGATCAGAGAGAAGAAACTCCAATGCTATGCAGATATTGAAAGGTACTTTGAAGTTTATCCCGCAAATATATGTTAAGTGTTCCTTATTTTGTTTAAGACATACCATGATTAAAACTTTTCTTAATTTTCAATTGATCCCCGAAAAAAGTTTGTTTTTATGATGTTGGTGTCGGGACCAGCTTGCGTGCAACTCGAAATATGTTGAATTTTGTGTTCTAGGTTTCAACACCCAAACAACTTAAAAGTTTTTTCTTAATTGGTAATGGACCTAGAAATAGATTTTTTCTTAATGAAAGAAACTGTTGAACTTTTTGCTAATTCTTACTACTATAAATTTAGTCCTGAAAGAGGGATGGCCAACAAATATGCTGAATTTTGTGTATTGGGTTTAAGACCCAAAAGGTTTAAAACTTATTTGTAATTGGGGTGGACCCAGAAAAATGATTTTCTTTATGGAAGGAGTTGTTAAATTTTTTGGCTAATTTTTTTGTATTTATTTTGTCTTGAAAATAGTGGGTTGTGGGGTCAGAAGTGCAAGGCTACAACAGTAGACAAGGAGAATTGTGCTCTAGAATGCTTGTCACCAATTTGTTATGAGCGCGTTTATAAGAGTGATCCTGTAAGAATAATTTACTTGTAATGCTTCTCCCAGCTTGTTTAGATGTGTATGTTCATAATGCTGAATATGTGTATTGGTGTATTTTGAATTAGTTGGAGGAAGGGGAAAAGGATACTGTAAGGAGTCAAGAATACAAGTACTGCATGCACAAGTAAGAAGCCTATACTTATATCTAATGAAATATACAGTTGCTTTTGTCTTTGTTAATTTGAAGGTTTGATCTGAGAGTTATGAGTTGTTAAAGAAAGTAGAACTCCTTGATATTTTGTGTATGCAACTCTTTCCTCTTGTGTAGTTACCTTCCGCCTTCTATCTCTCTTTTCTGGTTGTCATATTTGGCGATGGAATCTGCAGAATTGTCCACTGCCTAGTGCACCAAGGTTATTTAAAGGTTAAAGGTGGCAATGTTGTTACAATAACTTTATATGCTTGTCGAGGAGGATATAATCACAACTAGGACTTCTATTTATGTATAGATATCCATGGTCAACATGAGTTTTGAGGGTGGCCACCTCTGCAAATGGCAGAAATTGAATGATGAAGATTGATAACACTTCTAATTGCTGAGAACCTTTTAGGATACATGGTTACTGGTTAAGAGTTGGCATTGGGAAATGTGTTGGGGCTTATTGTTGGTCAGTATATTTCTGTACCACGTTCCCAGTAATTTGATTGAGCTGCAATTTCATTTAGCTGATTGAGTCTGAGTTTGTGTAACTATAGCAGTTCGTTGTGACTGTATTGTAGCCTAACTAGTACTAGAATTACCCTTCGGACAATATTTAGCGATATGTCCTTTTTCACCACAAGTAAAACAAGCACCCACAATACCAAAGCAGCGACCACTGTGGTTCCTACCACATGTATAACATCACGGATACTGTCCGAACTGAAACAAATTGTTATCCTTCTCCGCGTCTGTTGCTGATCTTGTCTCACCGGAAACGTACTCCCGAAGGACTTTAGCACAGACTCTAATTGAGTAAGCGTAAATTGCCCACGATTATAACCACTCTTGCCCCCAGATGGAGCACCACTAAACTCGCCTATACTGCGAGCCTTTTTGTTTTCTCGCTCGACCCTGTCCCTCTTCTAAGAGGACTCATAACGGAGAACAGTGTCAACTACCTCTGAATATGTGCCATCTCCCACATCCCTAACCACAGGACCATGATAACAATGTTTAAGTCCACCCACAAACCGTCTCACCTTATCGTGCTCATCTGCAACCAAAAAGTGGCCACAGTAGGATCGGTATATAACTTACCATCTGATCAGAGGTTGCCCAATAGGGGCAGAGGGGCCTGCCCATCAATTATAGCTCGATGGTAATGAAAATACTGTAATATTGTATATATAAACTCTCTGCTCTCTTGACTTGAAGAAGAAAATGCTCAATTGAATAAGAAGTCCCGATAAGGAGAATATTGTAGCTTACGAAACTTGAAAAATATACGTAAATTCCGGGACATGAATTTTTTCTTTATGCCTCGTTATCAAACTTATGTAATGACGAGATCATGCAAAATGAAATAAGGGCTTAGCCTTAACATACCTGGAGTAGGGAAAAATTCCGTATGATATTCTTGGAAAAGGTTGCACCGTACTCCGTTAGAATCGCAAAATTTCACGTTACATCTCCGACCATTATAACTCACATATGCACTAACTCTGAAATGTGATGTTGTATCTTCTAATCTCGGACATACACTTAACACTAAGACTAGAATTCCTCCGAGGGCGTGGAATAAAACAACTTCGAACGAACTGATTCACACCATTCTTTTTTGACAAATTTGACACTACTGGACTTCCCAAAATCATGGACTGCATCCCACCACAAGTTGCCATCTTTTTATAAACACTCAAAAAATGCAATAGCTAGATTTCACTTTTCTTAGCAAACAAAAAGACTTTTGCTTACAAAATAAAGAGATTAATCAAATTCTTAAACGAATTAACTCACCTTCAGAAGGCTTTAAAGAATGCTAAAGTGAGCTAAAGTGAATACATATATGCTTAGCACGTTCAGAAGGCTTTAAAGAATATAAACCTTGTTATGTACTAATGTGACACCTTTCACTTAAATGCAAGAGTCATCATATGTATCTCCATGTGGCTGCCACGTTTGGATTATTAATCTTATCTAAAGACTTTAATTAATCAACCACTAATTATTAATTAACTAGTTAATTCTCCAATTATCCAATAATTCACATAATTGAGGATTATGTCAAATTACTTAAAGTACTACTCACTTTTAACACATCTTTTACAATTTACTATCATGGTCATGTGGTACCTTATATGACACTAGCCCATAAATACAGGGTTTTTTAGCCCGGGCCGTATTTTACCCAAAAATATCAAAATTTCGACGAAATTCATTTTCTTTGATTTGCTCCCGCTCTCACTTTCACAAATTTACTTATCACTTGTTTGAAATAGTACACTACTTATAATCTCCAAATAATCTTGTCCTTGAACTGAGGTCAATTACCTTACGACAATTCCATGTATAATACTACAGGGTGTAACATCGTCGTAATATATTACTGCAAAGCGTACAATCATTGTAATGTAACACTGCAAGGCGTAATCTCGACGTAATATTGCGGGGCGTAACATCATTCCCCCATTTGGAACATTCGTCCTTGAATGTTGACTGATGCTCTTATCATCTTCATAACTCCTTGCCATTTAAGCAATTGTTCTATGAATAAATTCAAAGGTCAGGGCATTCCCCCTTTAGGCCTCTTTCTCACGCCACGACTTGTGGCCGGAATCCTTCCAATCTCGTAACTGTTGCTTCCTTCTTTCATGCAGCCTGTATGACAAAGACTTTGTGAGTGTGCCTATGTGACTCTTCTCTCATTTTTGCCCCAGCTTCTAGCCATCCCTAGGCCTTACTTTGCAAACATATACAAATCTTGGTAAAATGTCCCTCTAGGCATCTGTAGATATACTGAAGTCCTTCGCTCGGTACTTTGTTGAACTTGCGAATATTGTTATACCTTATTTCATAGATCCGTTTATCCATCCGTATGGCTTTACTGCATCTAGGTAGATCATACTATGCCATAACTCTTATTTTGATTTATCATTACTGAGGTCTGCTACCGAACTCCAGGTTACTCTCGTGCTTATCCTATATGTATAAATCTAAGTCCTTTAATGCTTCCTTATTACTGTTCATCTAAAGGATGTAATCCTTCTCCGCTCATACGTTGGAACTTTATCCACCTGCTTTTAATTCACCTCAATATTGGTCTACAGCCTATTACTAATAACTTGAAATCTCTTACGTAATCACTCGGGCTCACGTTGCATCGAGGAACATCTGGAATAATTTCCATAACTGTATTTCATAACATCCCAATGTGATTCACCTTATGTGGGTGTTTTAATCCTGTACAATTCATGAAATCCTCTTCAAGTCATTACTCAATCGAAGGCTTAAACATCATCATTTATTTGTCACAATTTCACCCTCATGCTATTATCAGGGCAGCATTCCATCTCTTCTAAATGCTACTAGTCTTAGACTCCTTTGAGTTCATTTAGGCTATATTGAGCTTTCTATAACTTAGAGGAACCATCAGCTCCTTCGTTTTCGTGGGCTTAATCCCGAGGACTTATCCATTTTTTGTCACCTTCTCACTTGCCTTTTTCTATCCTTACTCTTGTCTTTCTAAAACCTTGTCGTTCTATCATACTTCAGCTTGCGATCGGTTCTTGTTATGCTTTTCTGGAACATCAAGCGAGACATCGCATCGTCTCTAACTCTTCTTTTACTCTCTTATTAGACCTTTCGGTACTTAGAAATCATAGGCTGGAAGGTACGCCACTGACGATGCTGCTATCATTTCTGGATACTGAATCCCAGTGCTCCCAGTCTTTTACCTAAAGTATGGACCACTCTCATCCTTCTATACTTGAGTATTTCGTACGTTGTTCACTTTTTACCTTACTTACTTTAAAATATCACCTCACATTCTTCTATCTCTTTCATAACCTCCCTCCCACATAGGTATAAATCACATCCACCATTTGAAACTCTATTATAATACTTGCACCTCTGGTGCCTATAGCATCGGTGGGAGCTCCATACTGAATTTTTATGAGGCTGGTATTTTCTAACTGGCTTTATCGTAGAGCCGTTATAGAATATGGTTGTTGTGCTATCTCTCTTGCACCTCTGATATTAAGAGTGATTCTGCTATGTTCTCAATCATGATTCCTATAACATCTGGGTCAATAATCGGATTCCTGATTTACTTCGTGGATGTAACTATTTAGTTTCCTCCTTCTTCTAGTCGGCCTTTGTGTAGGCTTAAGTTATCTCCCGATCTGCGGTTCATGATATTAGTTATTCTGTTTAGCCTTTCATGGGTGTTGAGGAATATTCATGATGCAATCCTTTAACAATTCAATCCTTCGTCTATGACCTGGACTCAATTCTTTCTTTTAACGTATACCAGAATCTTCTACGGCTGTATATGCTGCATGTATAAAACTCCAAACTCTTAAGTGTGTTCATAACGTAATTAACTCAGGATCATTGATCGAATAATTCCTTTTGTTCCTCCTTAGCTTTCTTTAACGTGAGCTATTACTTTTCCTGGCCTTTCTGCCCTCTTGTTGCGTGCATACTTAGCTTATCTTAGTTCCCACGCATGCCAGAGTTTTCATGCAACTCATATGATCTCAACATTACTTTTAATTTTACTTCCCGTTCATTGGCCACGGTAGGTGCCCCTTTCCTTTGGAATGCTTACAATGTTGTTGTGAGACTGTTGTTACATGACCATTTCCTCTTTAGGTCGTTGTGCTTAGGTTGAAGCCTTCTTCCTTATTTCCTTAGCTAGTCTTTCGTTGTAGTACTTAGGGAGAACCCTTGACTCTTGTAAAGTTGTGAGATTATTACGGACCTTTTGATGTCCTTCCTTGCCTATAATCATCCATAGTTGCTTACCTCCATGCCCTTGTGCTTGTAGGGTTGCTCCTGAACTGATATTTTGACTGCCTTCCCAGTGGCACTTTCTTTTATCCCTGTAACACTCCTACGGTACCTTTAACTACCCCGACTCCTATTTGAATGTATCTCAAGTATTATAATGACATTACTGCGAGGCTGAGTTCTCCATGTTG